TTTTTCTGTGTGTTTTCAATCAGATTAATTAGCAGACAGCAAAATAATTCCAGACTGAGCACCATAGTGCGGCAGTCAGCACACTAGTTCAGTAGTCAGCACACTGGTGAGGGAGTCAGCACACTAGTTCAGTAGTCAGCACATTTAATAGATTATTCTTTTGATGAAAACTTTTGCAGTTGGTTTGTAGAAGTTATCATTACTCGTGTTTGTTGTTTTGAGCAGCAGGTGACGTCAGCGTGCGCTGATTCGAATCACTGAATCATTTTCCGAATTAATTGATTCAGTTGACTCGGAGATTCAAACAGCTCGGTTTCTCCATCACTTGATGATAAACTGATTCAGACACAGGGAGCGAAGTGAGACACACTTTCTGCTACTCGAGCACAAAATACCCTTCATTAACAACACTAAATAAAGCATTATAGTGATGCATTCGGTAATAATTCATTTCAAAGTTTCATATACATCTCTCTGAAGTAGATGTATTGATTTAAACACATTAAATGATTAAAATCACACACCTTTCTTCAGCCGAATCTCAGACGCGGAGCGCGCGCAGGCTTATGACGTCACACCGCCAGAGCAGAATAAAAGTCCTGTTCTCGAAATGAATTGAACTAAGAGATGACCTGCAGATCTGTCAAAAGCCCACAGATTATGTCTAACTCACAGAGATTGTGTAGAACTAAATCACATTTGTGGCTGCAGAAAGATTGAACTATTCAATGTATTGACTGAAACTGAATCTTTCTGTCAGTGTGTTCATCTTATTCACTTATTTACCAGCCAGGGTAACTGCTATTAGCTTTAAAAATACAAATATTTTCAATTTTAAATGTATTTAGCACCTGATTGTTGTGTTTAATACAGTAATTGACTGATTCAATGTATTTGATTGTTACAGCGACTACAAATTCAGGTTTTTGTCACCTCCGTCAGTTGAATATTTTGATAATATTTATGATATTTGATATTAGTTGTGGAACTGTTGGTCACATGTGAAAGTGTAATCTGTCTGCTAACACCAGAATGTGTTTTGAAATGTTAAAACATCTTGAATGCTGTTAAAGATAAAGCTGAAATTATATCACACAGTCCAAGCTAAAAAAGAGAAAGGTTGGGAGGTTGTATCAAAGCATAGCTCAGTAGCTCAGTACATATACGACACATAAATGTAGTTTCATTTGTCTGAGTACAAGGTTGTATTTTTTAAATTTTGCACCCTGTTTTGTCCCGCTTCTTGTTTCTCGCCAGAACATAAAGGCAATAAATCAAACCTCAGCTTTATTTGGTGAAAGTGAACTTCATTAGAGGACTGTGCCTGTGAAGGATTATACTGTTGCTGGATTTTGACTCTGAATGGTCAAATCTTTCATTAAAATTATTTCTTCTAAACGTTATTTATATAAATGTGATTTACATTTCCCCAGATTAACTTTATTAAAATTGGCAGTATATCATTTGTGCTGAAATTATAATATGGTTAAGATCTCATGTTTCAGTTATTGGAAATTGGTTTACAAACATAATTTTCATGACTGACAGATACTCACAGAAAAGTAATAGATCTGTCTTCTATAAAGAATAGTGTGGTCTGTGTTTGATATGTTTGCAGTCGTGGCCTAATGGTTAGAATGTCAGACTTGTTACCCAAAGGTCATGGGTTCGAGGCTCATTACGAGTTCGAGTTGTAGGTGGGGCGAGTGAATGGCAACCACGACTGAGATGAGACCCTTGCTGCCCACTGCTCCGGGTGTGTGTTTGTTTGTTTGTTCACTGTGAGTGTGTGATAATTTTGTTCAGTGTATATATATATATACACCTTGCTACGTGTGCTGCGTTAGGCTAACCGAGACTTGTCATTTGCACTTATATATTGTTGCTCTTTTGTTAGTTTTGACTGCTTTTATTGTCCTCATTTGTAAGTCGCTTTGGATAAAAGTGTCTGCTAAATGACTAAATGTAAATGTAATGTAAATGAATGTGACAAGAAACTGATGTCTGTAAAGAAATTATAATAACCTATATGCAAATATAATTTGGAAATGTGTCAAGGTTGTTATTTAATATTTGAGTGTTTATATAATCAGTTTTATGTTATTTTGTATGTAATCTTGTTGTTTGGGAGTGGGATGGGGCGCTAAGAGGGTTTTCGCCTAGGGTCGTCAAAATGGCTAGAAACGGCCCTGTATGCCTGCGAATACGGGACAACCTGCTTTCTGTAAAGCTTTCATTCAGAGCGCTTCTTTGATACGCAACGGTTGGCAACCCTGTTGATGCTGGGCCATGGAGGGAGAGACATCCTCATCAGGTGTAACGTTAGGCCTTGTGTCCAGCCGTCCATCAAGCCGAGGTTTTTTACTAAAGAAATTAGGCAGGGAGCTCTGAGACATATTGCTAACTAGCAAGGTTTAGTAAAAGATTCTCTATTGTTTAGAATGCGCCGCAAACAGTGTTGCCATGTCCGTGGTTTTCCCGCGGAATCGGGCTACTTTAACACTGTTGCTGCAGGTTGTTTTTCATGTCCGCGGGTTGAAGCGACTCCAGTAACATGATATTTAGCCCCTGGAATGTGAATTTTAACAGGGGAACCCCGCCAAAAAACGTGTATTTTACCCCCCCAGAACACGATTTTTAACAGGACCTAATCGATTTTAACGATTGGGCTAGTTTTCGGCTTGTTTTGAGTAGAGATTGGGTGGGGTTTCTTGTGAAAACCTGGCAACCCTGGCGGCAAACGTGTCTCAAGATGCTGGGGTCACACGTCACAGTCAGCGGCTGTTTGTGGATTGGTTGGCAATTCAAATTCAAATTTTAATTGCATTTTAAATTAACGAATATTGCAAGTAAATGACAATAGCACAAATTTAGAAAAACACTGTTTATTAAGACTATAAAAAATACTTCTACATCTATTTTTAGGTGTGCCAGCTGTCACTTTGGGTGGCACCCGCACACCAGTGGCTACGCCATTGATGTAAACAATATATGAATTGCGTAGGGCCAGCATTTTATTTTCCTGAAATAATTTGTATTCTTCATATTACTTGTATGGGTATTTACAAATGTAATTGAATAAGTATGAATGAAAAAGCTTGCTTGTAAAGTTAGATCTGAGGGTTTGAACAAAGCGAATCACTCAGGTGATTGGACAGAAGTCTTGATCAGAAAAGATGTGTTCGACTCGAAGCGGCGCTGCGCAGACCGATCGTGTTTGACATCAAAGTACCGCGAGAGCGATTAGAAAGCATAAGGAGCGTCTGCTCTCTAATCGCTCTCGCGGTACTTTGATGTCAAACACA